GGCATAGGACCCCCTATCCTGTGTGTACTGTCAGGTTAGAACTTGCTGTTGTCACCCAGCTCTCAATCGGTTGGAAGTTTCGTTGCTTGGCTTCCAGAGCAGAGCCGTGCGTTTCTGTGTAAGGACGCGGCGCAAGGCGGAGATTGAGGCCTGGGTAGAGTATCTAGAGGTTTTTTTGCCATGGCTTGCTTCATTTTTTCATTGATAGGATCCCAAGAGAGATTCAATCTCACTTTCGTCAGAGTTTTAGGTCTTTGTGGAAAGCGACGATGGAGGACGTTCTCGTAGGCTCGACGGTTGGGCCCTTCAGCTCGAAAGATGAGGTCTCCGAGTTCGTGGGCTGCTCAGACTGGATCCTGACGCAGCGCTTCGAAGTAGTTCAGAAGAACAAAGTTCCTGATCAACAGGACGGCGGTGATCACCGAGAAGCTGCAGCTCGTTTCGACCGATCTGAACGTTGTTCTTCAAGAGCTACGGACACTCGCACCCTGGCGGGTTGGGTTCTTGGATGAAAGGAAAGCTTGTCGTCAGCTTCCGATTCGGCCAGATCACCGGAAGTTCAGTGTACTCTGCTTGAAGGATCCTGAGGATGGAGTTCCCAAGTTCACTCGTTCGGCCTGGTGGCTGCGGTCGACAACTGCCTACAGATCGGCCTTCATCAACGATGTGTTGGTCAAGATCTTCGAGATGGTCGCTTTCAATTTCTACGCGATGCGATCACGGCCCCGTCGGCGAAGCTCGCCGTGAGAACGTTCACTTCCTTCCAGGGGCGCTCTTCGACGAGAAGAAGCTGCAGCTCTCTGTGGCCCCCGTGATCTTGGGCGTGACGTTCAATCTGGAACAGCTCGTCCTCGAAGATCAAGGAGCAGAGGAAACAGGAACTCTTGGACACGATCGACTCGGTGCTCGAGTCCGGCAGCTTGGATCCCGGGTTGGCCGGTAAGCTCAAAGGGAAGCTGATGTTCGGGCGAGCCAGAGCCTTCTTTCGCCCGCTCTCCGAGCGACAGTACATGAAAGATCTCCATGGCAATCGCATGGATCTCAACCCGGCCATCATTCGATCTCTCTCCAGTACTGGAGAAGATTGATCCACTTCGGGCCGCCGCGCGAGATCTCTCTTCGATCTGAGAAGCCGTCCGATGTGGTGATCTTCACTGATGGCTTCACCCCTGATCAGCGGAAGCATGAGGTTGGTCCTGATCGCATCGGGGCGGTCATGTTCGATCGCCGAGCTCAGGCGCCCAAGCAGCTCGCGGAGGTGATCCCGCGCGAGATCTCGGATAAGTGGATCCCGCGGAAGATGCAGATCGTTCCCATCGAGATGATCGCGCCGATTCTCGCGATCGAGACGTTTCGAGATCATCTGAGAAGCAAAGACGTTTTGCTCTTGGTAGACTCTGAAGCAGTCGAAGCAGCTCTCGTGAAAGGATACTCTTCAAAAGAGGATCTCTGCGAGCTTGTTGAGATCTTTTGGGAGCTCGCCCTCGAGTATAGGATCAATTTCTTTATCGATCGTGTCTCCACAGATGCTCAACGTGCAGCCTGGCCATCGAGAGATCTGCTCGAGATTGGCCAGTCGGCGGGCTGGGAGACTGTTCAGACTTCATGGCCCGCGACGCTCGCGGATTTTTGACTAGTTCGGGCCTGGGAGCTGTTCAGACTTGAGGCGGTCGCGAAGACTTGTTCGAGTCTGAAAAGGTGCGCGCTCGACGCCTGGGAAAGGTTCGGGTTGCGCGTTCGCTCTCTTCTTCGGTCGGACGATGACGCACGGGAATCACGGGAAGGGTGTCTCGTTCGATCGGTCGGGGCTCGGGTCGATCGGTTAACTTCGTTCCGGTTCGGATGATGCGCTCGACCCCATGCCAGAGCGCAAAACATGTTCAGTGTGTGCGCTCGTTGTCGGCTGCAGATCAGTGAGCTTTGCGAACGTTCGTACGTGGAGTGTAGTTCTCCGATTATCGGTTAGGTTGGTCTGGAATAGGAGGGCTACACTTCTGCATGAGATCTGCATGCCAGTCAGTTCCTTTGATGTCGGCGATCGCCGTGGCCATTTTGGCGCGAAGCGATCGCTAACGGATCCGCGAAGGATCTTTTTGTCCCGCCCAGCCCACCCTGTTTTGGTTCTTTTGCAGTGACCGCACCTATGCTTAAGCTTCAAGCTTCAGCATAGGTGCGGTCGGTGTGAAGGAAAAGGGAGCTGTTCAGACTTGAGGCGGTCGCGAAGACTTGTTCGAGTCTGAAAAGGTGCGCGCTCGACGCATGGGAAAGGTTCGGGTTGCGCGTTCGCTCTCTTCTTCGGTCGGACGATGACGCACGGGAATCACGGGAAGGGTGTCTCGTTCGATCGGTCGGGGCTCGGGTCGATCGGTTAACTTCGTTCCGGTTCGGATGATGCGCTCGACCCATGCCAGAGCGCAAAACATGTTCAGTGTGTGCGCTCGTTGTCGGCTGCAGATCAGTGAGCTTTGCGAACGTTCGTGCGTGGAGTGTAGTCTCTATATCACAAAGCGGCAGCTTCTTCACAGGTCTTGCACTTGCGAAGTGAAAGAAATTCAGCTTGCTCCACCAATTTAAAATCTGAGATTATCACGACCACAGATAAAAACTCTTAGAACTGTCCTTAGCACTCAAATGAATGACATGAGTCCGAATGTGCTTGTACATGTTGTACTCAGCTCGCAGCTCGTTTAGACTTCACTTTCGAACATGCTGGCTCAATCTTCTAGATTCTCAACGCTCGAAAACCAGCAATGGCCTCGTCTTGAACTTTCGCTGTCTGAGAAAGATGCGACCCTCCGCCGTTGCATCGTTGCTATCCTTAGTATGGAGTCATTCCTTCGACGATTTTATCTGTCTGTTGGCAGAGCAAGAGCATTGTCTGGTGAGTTTTCCTCAAGAACACTGACAAGCGTGTCAAGAAGGTTGCTTCCTTTCTGAAAGGACGCTGAAGACGTGACTCTGACTTAGAAAAATCTTTCACGTCTCAGAGGCATCATGCTATTACAGGAGGGCAACTTTTCGGTCGGACAGGCCCCTTGTGCATCTCTGTTCGCAGACCTTTTGGAGGCGTTACCATCGTAAAGACCTTCACAGACGCATTCTACTCCCAGACGAGAAAGGGAATTACTGTGGAAATGGAGTTAAAACAAAGATGGAGAACTCTTGTGTTGGACGTAAAACATGCAATGCGGGTGCACTGATGCTGCATCTGAGGCAAATGCTCTTGCAGACTTTCATTTGTGTGCAGAACGGGGCTGTCTGCAGCCGCACAGCCTTGAGAATCATCATAAGAAAGGTGCTTCAGGCCAGAGGGTCTCTCAGCAGAGAATCGGGGTGGCAAGTGTCGTTGTTGAATCCTGCCGCTGAGTGAGTGTCATGACTCAGCCTAGCTGATGTATTTGCATTCAAGGTGTGCTCAAAGGCTGGGCCTGACTGCATGCATTCGCACATGCGGACTTAAGGACTCTTTTGCAGTTGACACGAGTTGAGAAAGCTGTGTGTCCTTTGATTTCGTTGGACCTACTTGATGAATCAAATTTGGTGTCTGTGCATGTGTCTCCGCCTTGCGGAACCGGCCTACCGAGTGACGCAGACAACACTGTCGGGACGATTTGCATCCATGGTTTTCCCTTCTTAAAGATGACAAGATTTCGTGAACAGACTAACCACAGATTTGAATTTATGTACACTCGGGACATTCTGTTTTCCATTGAGAGGCCAGTTCATTCTTTAGGCCACCAAATGATGATATGAGATGTTCACTTGTTTTTAAAACCACGTTGGACCAATGCATGTTTGGACATTGCCGTAAGAATGCTTATACGCTGCCTCAGTTCCTTTGCTTGAAGCGTACGTGCTCAGGAAAGCACGTGCACCAAACAGAATTGGCGAAATCTTCTGCCAAGATCAATTATCTCTAGGATCTTGCTCAAGAGATGTCTTCGCTTCTGCGCAAGTAACTGTTGGACCTCGGTGGATGTGACTCTCCTAGCTTCTTCAGAAAAAGGATAATCTCATTGCCGGCACCCATGTTTTCTCAGAAGTGCCGGCCAGCAAACGCGTGCTTCCGCTTGTGCCGGAGTTCAAGATGCGAGTGCATGTTTTTGGTCAATGTGTTGAATGCCGCCTCAACGGGCTTCAACGGAAACAGGTTCTTTCAGCTGATTGGGTGCCGCGGAATGGTGCAGAGGTGTCTCAAAACGTTGGTTTCATCCCTAAAGGTGGTAAGGTGCGAAGCATCTCTCTTCAAGGGGTGGATCCAGATGCTTCAGAAGGTTCTAGTGCTCCTGACGGTAGTCCTCCTGGTCGTGTGAAGCCAGATGCTGCAAAGGGTTTTAGTGCTCCTGAGGTTGGTCTATTCTATGATCCAGTCATGTTCTGCGTGTACATGAGCATAACGCGAGCACCCCAAATCCTAGTGCTGTACTAGGTGTGGCATCATGTGACCCTGGGAACTGTGTACAACCCAACATGCACGTGAGCAGCGTTAAATTGGGGCTGTAAAGTCCATGTGCACGAAGGGCAAGGGTACCTTGGCCATACATGTCGTGTAATGTAGAAGCCTGGATAACTGCCTACATTGAATGACCTCAAGTAGGTCTCAATGTGATTTTGGCAGTACTTACCAGGGCGTGAAGCCTCATAAGTCAGCAGATATTCTGACACCTATAGTAGGCTTGCGTAATCATGTGCGCTTTGAAAAGCAAAGCCCGCATGTCCTGCTTGGCCAGACTCCCACAGGCCGACCACGCGGGGACCCCAGATGCGAGAGAGCGGATGCAAAGATCCTTGAAACGATCACGAGAAGCATGGGAGCAAGGGCAACCATGATGATAGCAGGCGCGCCTGTTCGGACAAAGAACTGCACCCCCGACGAGTGGTAAAAATGTAGTTTCAAATGGCAACCTTACAGATGAATCCAGAAGTTGTCGCGCGGGAAGCTCAGGGGATAGATGCCTGAAGGCTTAGCAGGCACAAGTCTGTGCTTGAAAAAGCTGATGTTGCCCTGTGCTTACAAGAGCTGCTTGGAAAGTCGGTTGCAATCCCGAACTACATGACATAACTTTGAAGATCCCAAAAAGATCTCGGTTCAAGCCTCCAGCAGCTTCCAGCCATGCCTTGCCATTGGTTTCTTGCCGGGGCCGTCTTTTCTTGGCACGTGCCTCTGCGGTTGGCTACCGTGACTGCTGCAGGGTGCATCACGAGTACAGATGTTGACGAGGGTGACTGCGAGTTTCGTGATCCTTCGGTGATGATGCAAACGCTGGGCCATAGTCTCTGGGGGTAAACCAAGACCAGCTCAACCACGACAATGTCAGCAACAACAGAGCGCCCAGATTACAATGTGGAGCTCACAAGCAGCAAAACCGGTAAGCTTGATGATGTCATTGCAAAAACGTGGCCAGATGCAGAGAATTGGGCTGTACAAGTTCTGAAAAGATTGAAATTCATTGAGGAGACCGACCACAGCTGCTCGGACTGCCTCTCTCCCCCAAGTGGCGAGTGGATCTGCTGCTTTGAGCGCAAGGTAGATGGTGCAACGGTAATCGCAACAGTAGATGTACCCATCATGGGGGCGCAGTTGGTGGTGCGCCTGCAATACGAAGAAGACATGGACAGTGACTTGGCAGCCTACACTCACTCGCTACACCTGGAGCCTCGAGACCGACGTGTGCTTGCTCAAAACTTCAAGCAGCAAGGCGTGTATCAGAAAAGCCAGCTCAAGAACCGGGATCCAGCAGACATTTTCAACGGAATCCAGCGCTCGGAGCTCACGAAGTCAAAGTTCTCGGACGTACAGGTTTCCGAAAAGGCTGCATCTCAGGCGGAAAGCCTTGTGCCCAATGCAGCTGACGAGGCTGCCAAAGTGCAGGCACAGGCACAGGCGATGAAGCAGGAATTAGAGGCCGCCAGAACAAAGATGGAGGAGGCCTCGAAATCTGGCAACGCAGCATTGGCCAGTGAAGCACAAGCACAGCTGAATCAAGTCATGTCGCAGCTAGACGGAGTCGCGGTGGGCAACGCGGATCTGAGCACGTCGGGGCAGCAGGCGGAGATGAACAAGGCAATTCAGTCGGGTGGGTTCGTGAACGGCCATGCTTTGACGACAAGTCAGCTGATTGCCATGAATGGTGTTTTCCGTGGTATGAACCTCTTCACTGACGAGCCCACAGCACTGAAAGCTCAGGCTGTCGAGTTGGTGCCTCAGTATGCACAGATGAGCGAGGATCAGCTCGCTCTTTATGTCGAGATGCGCCCGGAGGTGGATAGCGAAGAGTTTTTCATCGAGTCTCAGAAGGCGACCGACTTGCAAGTTGCCAATGGCATGGTGGATGCTTTTGGCAGTAGCGCCTTCCACACGTCGGTCGACTCTTGGCAAGCTGCCGTTGACATCCAAAGCAGCTATGGCGGAGGAGGAGCCTCGGGCGGCCAAAGCAAGAGCAAATCTGGGGGCTCGGCCCAAGACCACCAGGATTCAGACTCGAAGCGTCTGGAGACTTCGATCAAGACGCTGGCAAAGTCCCAGTACTTCCTCCAACCAAAGTTGCTAATCGACATCTCAGAATCCATGCTGCAAATGTCACCAAGCTTCCAGGCCGACAGCCACCAGGCCTCCTACGTGTTGTGTGTGTCCCAGGGCCGGCAGAACTGCTCCAGCTTCTTACACCTGCCGGCCCCAAATTCGAACTCGAGCACGCCAGATGCATCGCAAGCTGGCTCGAGTGGCTCGAGCTTGGAGGTTCGTTTCCTGGTGACAAACGTGGAGAACACGATCGTTCTGAGCCAGGCAAAGCTGCGGTCAGACATGGAGTCAGCCTTCGGAGACTTCATTGCCTTTGTTGCCCATGCCCCCAACGTTAGCGCACGTGTGGAGCTCTACAGGCCTGCGCGGGCCTTTTCGCCGGATGGCACGTTCACCAGCATTCAGGTGGTTGTTACCCTCTCTCCAGCGGACTTTGCCACTTACAGCAATGTGGAGACGTACCATGCAAAAGGGCGTTTGCAGCCATACTGCAAGAAGATTTTGCTGTCCATCCCACACATCGACCAGGCGAGGATACGGAATGCCTCAAACCCGAGCAACTTCCTGGACAACGACTTGAGCTATTTCTTTGTGTCCTGGTCACCACTGACGAAGACCGGCAAGACAGGCGGCACCTTCGATTTCATTGGTGTACCTGAGCCGGGTCTCGTCCAAGATGACCAGGTGGTCCCAGCCCTGCTGTACAACTACGGCAGCCATGTTTGCCCTCATGTGACAATGGGGGGTTGGTGGCGTATCACAGCTAATTATGCCAGCACCGTCAGCCAGCAGCGGCTCCAGGTGGAGGTCGCCACTGCCCAGGCCATGGAAAAGGCTCGGGCAGAAGCGTGGGGAGTGGATGCGACAGCGGCAGGGAGCAAGCCGGGCACGGCTTCTGGTGGCGCTTCGGGTGGTACCAGCCATTCCAAAGGCTCGGATGACAACAGCCATTCCTCCGACGGCAGCAAAGATGCCGAACTCTCCGCCATGAAAAATGCTACTATGGAGATTGAACAGACATGGAAAGGCGGAGCTCCAGGCGTGGCACCTCAAAATTGGCGCCGGAGTCTGGATGAGTCCATGAATTCAAACTGGAAGGCAATCCAGCGCGACTTGACACGATGCATCGGCATCTGGAGCTTCGTTAAAGATCCGAAACTTGGGGAGGCCCTTTGTGAAGCCTGGGTCGCCTCCTTCCTGAAGGCCCAGAAGCTTTCCAACACAAGCGTGCCATTAGTCTTGCAGCAAGCCGCCTGCTCCACAACGAAGAACATGCAGCACCTCATCTCTTATGCCCGAAATGCTTCAGCATGGAAGCAGAAGGAGGAGCAGCAGCAAGGCGAGATGCGCTGTGAGAGAGAACAGCCCGGGACGTACTGGAGCCCTCCCGATAGGTGTGTAGAGAAACAATGCTTCTGCAGCCTTCCGGACACAAGTACCGCCTCCAAGGGCACCAGCGGTATAGACTGCCCAGCAAATGGCGAGACAGACTGCTTAGGCTGCTGCACGAATCAGCAGCGCTCCCGCTGCTCAAAGTCAGCTTGTGCGTTTAACCATGTCTTGAAGTCGGGCGCAGCTGGATACTTTTGCCAGCTTGCCACTTGCCACGAACAGTACGACGACACAGTGTGCTGCACACCGAAGTACATGGGGCGCCACTTCTCGCTAGAGTTTCAGGTAAGTTCCAAAGACGATTGTGGGACTGATTCGGACATTTACGGCCGGCTTGAAGGTTCGAATTGGAAGGGAAAGAAGCAACTCCTGGAGTCCTCAGCGGATGATTTCCAGCAGGGGAAGCAGGAGAGTTTCGTGTACGACCTTGCTGACCCCAGGGTCCCCACCAAGATCTGCGTTGAGAACAAGGGTGATGACGAGCTGTGCTTGGACTGGGTGAAGATCTACAACCTTGATGCGGAGGAACCGGCTCTTGTTGGGAAGGCCGGCGGATGGCCGCCCCTGAGCGACGACGACGGCGAGGACTCCTCTGTGAAGAAGGCATGCATCGACATCGTACCGCAGTAATTCGGCTTTACCTGGAGTCTTCTGATCAGATGTCAATCTACATGGCCCCTAAAGAGCCTTAAGAGCTCGCTGTTGGATGCTGCAAACAGCCACATCCACTCGCTGGTGCAAAAACAGCAGGAACTAAGCTTGCTCTCTTCGTCTTCGCAGTGCAAATCGCAATACATAGCCAGAGAGTGCCTGCTCGTCTTCATTGCGGTTTTCAGGGCGGCCACGTCCACAGCTGCCCGTCAAGCCACGAACCCAGCACTACCACTGGGATTGCAAGCCTGTGCACTGATGCAGAGGCTTGCATTTTCGCAACATGAGTTGCGCAAAAACCTGGAGTAGCTGTCAGTGCGATGTTTTGTTTCTATCAGTTTATTCAATCTTGGACTACACGCGTCACACGAAAGCACATGTCTGGGAGTCCGTATAATGATGAATCCCGCTTTTGGTACCTAATTATCATAAAGGGCGTTGCGTACCCAGTTCTGTGGCATTGCTGAATGAGAAGCAGCAGCTGCTGCCGCTGCTGCTTATTTATGTTCAAGCACTTTGCATGCGAGGCGGGAGAATCCGTCTGAGAACGGAAAGCGCAGTCGCCTGCGTTTTTTTTCCGAGGTGGAGGAGGTCCGTTCTTTCCCATGCATGATGACGGAGCCAACGAAGGTAACCGGAAGACATGCAGACATACTTAGTTGAAATCCATCACTCCAAGTGCCCTTTGAATGAGAGTCACCCTCATGCTGGTAGTGAGTCTAGGACGTAGAGACTTGGAGAGCTGTAGTTGCTTCGCTTGAAGCAAAATGCTGGCCGTAATCTTCCAACTCGTGGCACGACAGATTTTTCTCACGATCTTGGCCGCCTCCAATCCAATCTGACCCACCTGAGCACGGACACAGACTACGGGTCTAGGGTTATAGTCCCGCTTAGGTAGATAGAATCTGGGGTATATGGGTATCTTACTATAATATACCCGAAGCCACATTCTATCTACTTAAGGGGGATTATACGGGTTTGGGGAATAGGGTTTCGAGCTTAGGGGAAAACCCAAGGCCCTATGCACTGCACCTTGTAGACCCTTCACCTTCCAGTCTTGGGCCCTCAGGCCATTATTCCACCACCTAAACCTTTGGTAATCCAGGAAAGACTGCGCTTTTGTGACCCCCCCCGGTCAGATTTCAGTCAAGCCTGAGCAGTCCAGAAGGCAAAACACCGACCAGCCATGAGTATAAGCCCATAAAACGATAAGAAGCAGAAAAAGATGTCCTAAATTTGGCATTAAGGAAAGGTATGCTGATTATAAGCCCTACCCCTCAGCCCCAAACCCCAAATCTACATTCTGAGCTCTGAGCCCTAAACCCTAACCACAAACCCTCTCCAAGTGTTGAGTTTTGGGAGGTGGCAGAGCCGGCGCAGACGAGAGGATGCACTAGTTTGAACTGTTCTCAGACACAGACAGTCGGATGTCCCACGGTGCTAAAAAGAGTGTGGACACTTCTGCATTGCAACATTGTTGTTTCTCTATACAACCTGCAAGTAGAGAGAACATGCATGAGATAAGAGGATCTTATTGACGAGCCGTTTTCGGAGGCTTTAAAGGGCCAGCCTTGCTAAAGCCCCGAAAGACCCCACAGTGGCCCCACAGGGTGTTTATGTCAGTAGATGCATGGCCCTAACCATGCATTTTTGGTGCTGCAGTCGGAGATAGAATTCATGCAAGCTGTTAGTACATGATTTGTGGTGTTGTTGTCGTTTTAGGCAAACCGTTCCGAAGCAAAGGCGACATCTCCATTCTTGGACCGGAAGCCATGTCGCGTCCAGACAAGCGAAGTCATCGTGGAGCACTGGATCTTGACCTTGGTCCGAGTCTTGCATGTCCCAGTGTATCGATGTTCTTGAAACAGTGGCCTTGAGGATTGTCTGACGATGAAGATGATGATGCGGGGCGAGTGGGTGGCGGCAGTGCAAAAAGAGAGGCGGTGTCGCAGTGTGTGCGAGTGATTTGACAGTGTTTATTGATTAATGAGCATATCTTTATGGTCCGACAAGATACGCAGTGTTGGATCTCGAAGTTGGAGAGCAAAGCCTGTCGTCGTGCGCAGCTGACCGTTGGAGTTGTTGCTTGACTTCCCTACTGTTGCCAGGAAAGCATTGGCGAGCTGCTGGGTGACAGCAAAGAGCTAAAATTCGGAGCGCCAGCTCGGCAGCGGAGACAGCAAGGGTTCCGGCTAGGCCGGTCTTCGAAAAACTGTGAGACTAGCTTTGCCATGACAAACCAAGTCCCGTGTGGTGTCAGGCGGTGGAGTCGACCCTCTCCAAGCACTGGTTGATCAAACTCGGCCACCCATCACAGAGGATGACGAGCCGGATTCGGAGTTCGAGCGCGACTCGACTGCACTTGAGCCCCGGTAGTTCTCCAGGACACGACGCATCAGATTGTCATCATGTGGCGGCTGGCCTTGTTAGGAGAATTTGAAAGAGCTGTTGCTGGGTGTGGACCTCAGTACCCATGTTGAGCGGGAGCCTGCCTCACTTTTGTCTCAACGTTGCTTTGAATGTCAAGAATGTGTGGCTTTCGTTGGGCGGCCGCTTCACACGGAGTGTGAGTGTTGAGTTTGATGTCATCACTAGCATGTAGAACAGCTTTGGATGCAGCTGCCCACTTTTCCCAGGCGTTGTGCAGGATGGTTCTTCCACAATTTACGCCCACCCTTGTTCGTTCAGTGTGGTGGCACCAGCATACTCCCGGGTCACGTCCTTGACAATGTCTAGTCACATTCCTTTCGAAAGTTTTTCCACTTCTGAGATTATAGACCGCTCCTTGATCGGCAACATATGGAAATAAGTTTGAGGGCAAGGCTAAAGTGCAGTTTGCACGTGCTCAAACGATGCATACAACTCAGATGAAGAATGTCTCTACAAAAGACTTTCTTTGAGAATCCAGCTGCTTGCGAAAGTTTGGGGGACGCAATTCCTGTGATCGAAACGAGTCCGAAGCCTCTGTTTGGTTTCTGTCAACAGGGCGGCCTCCAGCATGCCAGCTCGGCCGGCGCCGCCAGACTCTTGGCTCAACGCCATCCTGCCGTTGTGAGCTTCAGCAGCGTTGCGTGAAAGGATGCGGGAAGCACTTCATAATGCAAAGAATACCCATACGGCCCATACCCCCTAGTGACTCCAGCCTCATTCCGAGTATGGCCTGCAGGGACTGGCAGGGGTAACTTAGTTATTTCGCAATCTGTGCTTAGACTTTTGAGTGATTGTCATGTTTTGCTGCAGTCGTGCTTCCCCGGAGTCTAATCCTTGCGTACCAGTTGTTCTGGTGGCCTTTCGTCTTTGTCAGCTTGATGCTGAACAGGTAGTGTGGCATTTTCGAAAGTGGCTAAGACTTGCAGGACTTGTTTGTTTCTTGCATGTCCGCACGTGGCGCATGAAGTGCGAAGAGCTGTCTGCACAGCTTCGAGCTTGTTGGGCTTTGTCATTCGTACAGTAATAGCTTTGTCATCGTGGTGGATATTCTTTGGTTCTATAGATCCTCTACAAGCAGAGCTCAGGAGCCCTCAGCTGAGCCTGCAGGCGATGACTTGGATGCTTCCTGCCAAGCAAAGTGCAAATATGTGCAGAGCGAAGTTTTCTGACCCGAGACACATCAGACCTCGCTTGGCTTCGCTTACGATCACATGCTGTCGAGTTACGCAGTCCCTACGTGGTTTCACTTCCTGGCAGAATCTGAAAGCCCCACTCCGTTTAAAGGACTTTGGCTTAGGCCGTCGTCGGTTTCGGGCCAGACACGGATGACACTCCACTGAGGACATCGTCGGCGAGATTGGTGACATACTGGGTAGAGCCCTAAGCGATTCAGCGAAACGACACAGGATGGCTTGTTGTCCGTTCTCTTGGGACCATGTGTCAGAGTTGTGCGGAGCAATGGTGTTCGATTTTTCGCCGATGAGGACCGAGCTCTCGATGAAATTTGACAGTATGCAGAGGCATGAGCAAGACTAGCACGATGTTGCGACAAATCTTCAGGTGATGAGCAGCTTACCAGTGCTCGGCGGACGTTGCGAAGATCCCAAACGGCTCCAACAGCTGCCCTTGACCATCACACAGCAGAGCTCGAGGAGACCGAAAAGAATCAAACCGAGGGTCTTGCAGACATAGGCACAGTAGACCGGGATGGATTAGGTTGGCCGTGGGTGAACAGGCCCTGATCACACCGTTCAAACTCGTCGAAGCCTTCGCCAGCCCCCCCACAGCTTCCTCATGAAGCGGGATGTAGGGGCCCTTGGACCCTGCCCCCTCTCAGGCGACTTTATGCAAGCACAGGGGGCAGTTCGTTAGCTGATACTTACGCCTCACATCAGCCTCCTCGGCGCATGCAGGCACCGACGCTTAGGTCACACAGGATTTCTAGGGAAGGGGCTACATGTCAGGCCACCTCTCTTGAGGCCCCATGGGAGGGCAAAGATTTTCGCTTGACGCTTGATGTGCTTCCATGTTTTTCCGGGACTTCCAAAACCATTGACGCATTTTTCCTCCTCAGGAGGAGGCCGAGCAGAGGAGGCCTGCCAGCAGGGTCTAGAGCAGCATCATAGTGAGTGTTCGATGCTCGTCGTGAAGATTCAGGCCTGACAGTGGGCGGGGTCGCGGCTTGACCTCTGAAGAGGCTGGCGCAAGGGCAGTCTTCTTGGTGTTGAGCCTCTCTTTTAGACCTTGGCAGGAAAACCTGGGACGCCGCAGACAGGCCAGGATGGAGAGGGGTGCGATGGGGTTCCTCGAGATCCGTCGGTTGTATCCACCCCAGGAGCACAGAGGAGTAGCAGTAGTACTAGTAGTAGTAGTAGCAGCAGCAGGAGGAGTAGTAGTAGTAGTCGTCGCGGTGGTGGTGGTGGTGGTGGTGGTAGTGGTGGTGGTAGTGGTGGTAGTGGTAGTGGTAGTGGTAGCAGTCGTCGTCGTCGTAGTCGTAGTCGTCGTCGTAGTAGTGGTGGTGGTAGTGGTGGTGGTAGTGGTAGTGGTAGTGGTAGTGGTAGTGGTAGTGGTAGTGGTAGCGGTAGCGGTAGCGGTAGTGGTAGCAGCAGCAGCAGCAGTCGTCGTCGTCGTAGTCGTAGTCGTCGTCGTCGTAGCAGTAGTAGTAGTCGTGGTATTCTGCAGTAGCAGTGGGAGGGGGTAGGAGTGGGACTAGGAGTAGGAGTAAGGTAGGGGTGCGACAGTAGCGTGCCAAAGATTGATCCTCAGCTTGAGGCAAGCGGCACACCCGTGCAGTCTGGGGCCAAGAGCTACTGATGTAAGCGAGCACCATGTGAAAGCAGTTTCTGTGTCGACAAGAACATTGAAATCGGACATGGTCAACCTTCAAAGGCGCACGGGCACCCGTGATCGGGCGGACATGCCGGCGCGCTCTTCTCAGCATGTCTGCTGCATCGGTAGAAGATATTGAGTGCTGGCTGCTCTTGCTTTGGCAAAACACCTGCGAAATTTGTACCAAACCCAGGCCAGGTGACACGGGCAGGACTTTCACTCTTGGCATCCGGGCTGCAATGATACGTAGTTTCGAGGTTCGCTACAAATGCACCATCCGTGCATGGCGCCTGCCGGCTCTCAAAAGCACTTGTCACTTGTAGTTGAGCCTGATGATTGCAGGCTCCCCACGACAGCGCTCACAGCCGCCTCCTAGCTCCCCACCAGATCGATTTGACCGGTCACCCTCAGGTGGGGACTTGGTGCATTTCGGTGTTTTCTTCGGAGTATTCGCCTGTAGTGGGAGGGCGAATGGTAGTCTTACCTGCACAGGTAGTGGCTATGCTTCGGATGGCCGCTTCCAAGGGTGTGGCGCTTGGACTCTGCAGGCACGTAAGAATCTGCTGCACGGCTAAGCGCAAGAGACTCTTAGCCTCTGGCTGCCCGTAGGAACAGTGTAATGTTGCTGGCATGTTGGACACTCCCACCTGTTTCAGCATTTGGCTTCGGCACGAGGGGCATGGATCCTTTCGAGTACCCGACTAGCAGTCTACGCATCGAGGCGTTTTCGTTCTCAATCCGCAATGGGTGAATTGTTAAGCAAGTCTCTCCTGATGCTAGTTGCAAATGCTAGCTTCAAAGTGGTGAGCTTGGGAACGGAGAGGTTGTGAATGCTTTTGAAAGCATTTTGCCGTCTCAAGGTCTGGTGCGGGGGAGGCGTGTCGCACCCTTTCATCGGCTTCGGGCATTCCATTGCAACACCAGCTTGGTCTCGTTATGAGGTCGGTGTCGTTGGATCTAAATATGATGCCTGACTGACAGTCGACCTCTACACGGCGAGCGCTGGAAGTGGAGCTTTCGCAGGACGTCCCAGCGTGACAAAGCTGTCCTGACATTTGTCCTGCATCCGTCATGTCCGAGGCGGGAGATCGCCGATCATTTTTGGTGACAGTGCCTGATCTAAGGCTGCAGGCACGGCCAAGGCGGCGACTTGGGGGAGCAAAGGCGAGGCTGCAGACCGTGCTCGACCGAATCTGTGGGGTGGTCAGTGTTCATAAGCATGTGCATAAGCGCTCCCGTATCTGAGCAGTGGGCAGCACAGCAACGGATCAGCGTGATGTGTGTGTGTGTGTACTATAGTTGGCTTTCGCAGCAGGAGCAATTGTCCACGCATGCTTGGACGATCATGGACCGATGTACGCACACGATAAAGGTATCTACACAAGTACTGTACATACCAGCTTTATATATATATAAATATGTATGTATGTATGTATGTATGTATGTATGTATGTATGTATGTATGCATGTGTGCATGTATGTTTACGTGTAGATGCATGTTTATGTGTATATACACTTATATACACGCGTACATATACATATATTTATCCATATCTATATCCATATCTATATCTGCATCTATATCCATATCTTGTCTATAGCTATCGACATATCTATATATTCATATCTGTATCCGTATCTATATCTACACCTCTGTCTGTATATACACATATGTAAAAGTGTTGATGCGGCGGACAAGCCGGGCGGACATATGAGAAGCTAAGTCATGTGCGGAGAGATCAGTTGTGGGGTGCCGAATATCGGCCTGCATCTCCGAAGATGCAGGAAACTGCCGTTTGTCGTGATGCAAGACCCCTCCTTGCAACGATGGAAGAAGAAAAAGCAGTCTGTATGTATGTGTTCTGTGTATCTGTACATATATATATATCAATCATATAATATGATATGTCCATTATCAGCATTTTTTAGGTATAAGAATGCTTCAATTGTAAAAGGATAGAGCAAACAGAATAATTTGATACATTTTGTTGTAATATACAATGTAACATAACAATACAGTATAATGTAGTGTAATATAGTATAGTATAGTATAGTATAGTATAGTATAGTATAGTAAAATATAGCATAATATAGCATGATATAGCATAATATAGCATAATATAGCATAATATAGTAGAATATAGTGAAATATTGTATAATATAGTGTAAGATAGTGTAATTTAGTATAGTATAATGTAGTATAGTATAGTATAATATAGTATAATATAGCATAATATAGTATAATATAGTATAATGTAGTATAGTATAGTATAATATAGTATAATGTAGTATAATGTAGTATAAAATAGTTTAATATAGTACAATATAGTATAATATAGTATAATATAGTGTAATGTAGTATAATATAGTACAATATAGTGTAATATAGTATAATATAGTACAATATAGCATAATATAGTTTAATATAGTACAATACAGTATACTATAGTGTTATATAGAGTAAGATGTTACAATATGGTATAATTTAGGATAATATAGTATAATATGATATAGTATAGTGACATACTTTTATATCATTTGTTTTGATACAATACAAGACAATGTCGTCGTCGTCGTCGTCGTGTCGTCATCGACATTGTCGCCGCCAATTGCTTTTGCACAGTTTGTGCTTTCGGTTGGCGCAGAGAAGGACCGTAATCCGACATCCCGGGCCATTGTAGAGACCTGATACTTGCTTTTTTCATTGTTGTATAAATATAAGATAAGTCTGTATATATATATATATATATGTACACACATCCTGTAAGCTCTAGGGGTATGCATCTCCATCCGTCCATTCGTTTGCTCATCTATCGCGGGAGGCTCCAGTGGATCCGGGCCTGGATGCTGATGAGCCAGCGACTCAAAGCGCGAATCGAGACCTGAACCAGTGCTCGGAGTTTCAGTGAAGTTTCAGCGATTGGTACCATTTCGCTGCTTGTGGCGTGGAGTTGCGAACTGACTGGCAATGGTGGTCGTCTCGGTGCAGCAATATAATCATGTGCTTTTTGTGCATCCTGTCTTCTTCTCCATCTGCAGGTGATTTGCATAGCAATCTTGTTTTGTGAGAGACAAGCAGTTGGGATGCCGGACGACACGGGTTGAGTGCCGCATCTGTGCCGAGACAGATTTCGCTGCCGCTTTTGCATATTCTGGGGGTATCTGTGTGTTTCCCGATTTCCTCCTGAGAGGATAGGCTACATTGTAAGCTTGGTTTCGGGGTGCTTCAAGGACTCTAGGGATTTTGAGGGCTGTGCATGGGGGCCATCCATCTGAGACGAGCGCAAAAGGAATGGGACCTTGTCTTCCAAGCGTTTTCGGCCAGGCTTCCCATTGACCAGACTGGGCCTCAGTCAGCCTACAACACTGCGGATGTCTTGAAAGACATCAGCAGATTATCATGTGAGAGGCCTCGTGTGTTTCCGCTGTTTCCGGTCGGTTTGCCCAGGCGCGAAGGAGAAGGAAGCAGCTTCGAGGCGTTGATTGGGTTTAGAATGCGTTAGGGAAGCTCAGCACAGATCTGTTATCTGCAGTGCTTGCCATCCCCGCCACGCCGTATCACGCCGTCTAAAACCAACGATATCCGGTAGACACAGACTAACTGCTGTCTCGGCGAGCCCCGATGAGTATGCTTGATGGCATCTGGCATCTCACGCCCTGGGACTTCGCGGCATATGTGTTCTGTCGTGTGGCCTCTTAAAGTCACTGCCGCTCAAGTCTGCGTTTGCATGCGTTTGCCTCCGCGTGCCAGGTCCCGCAGCCACGTGGGGCGGGCAGCGTTCGGGCAGGTGCTACTCGATTGCTTGATTCTGTCCTCTGATCACTTACAGTCTTACANNCAGTTGGTGTGCAGCGAACACGCATGCCTGAGCTTCTGCGAGGAAGCGCTGCAAGTGGCAACAGCGTGCCCGGCCAAAGTGCCACGTTCGAGACTGAAACCTGCGTGGTTTTTGACTTGTCTGTTGGATGGTTTTGCTTAAAGATCGTAGAACGGAGCGTGGAGGCCCGCAAAGAGTCCTCCGAGCTCTGCGGGGAGCCGGCGGGCNNTGCAGCTCTTGCCGTTTCCCTTTGACAGTGCCTTGCTGTGTGTGCAAGCGTCCCGCCTTGCAGCCGCGCGCTGGCGACTCGAACAATGTGGCCAAGGCGTGGACTTGCCCAGTCCCTGAAAAGTTTCGATTGTTTCGAAATTCAGCGACAGGGGAGGCGTGGGGGCAGTGGCTGAACCCGAGAACATTTCAGAAAACTCATGAGCCAGCAGCAGCAGCAGGCCCCATGTGATGACGAGCAGTGTTGCGTTTGTCGAGTAGCCCAAGACACAACGGCTGGTGGACCTGGGATGCACACGACCTCAAGAAAGGCTGCACATACCCGTTGCAAGCTAAATGTGTTGTTGATGAGTTTCAAGTTTCTGGCTCAGCAACTATCGATGGCGCTTTGTGGAGAGTGCCCTTGACTACAACAGCTGTGAGGCACATGAGGCTATCGCAAGTCGTGTGCTCGGGGATGGGGTGTAAAGTGCGGGAGGGGCTCGAAGAAGACCAGGGGGCCCAGGGCCTTGGGTCTCGAGCATGGCAGGACCCGCGCGCGAGCGTTGCGTTTTTGTCTGAAGGAAGGGCTGGCAAGGAGGGTTTCAGATTGCGCCGTCTTCCACACCGGGCCGGTGCAGATGTTTTGCTGAATGGAGATCCTATTGCGAGGCTCCTCTCGACATGGGGCTCGACCTGGGTTTCGATGCCGATGAGCCAGCACCCCAGAATGCTGCGGCCTGCAGATGCAGCACTCGCGGGTTCAGATGCACGTGCTGCTATGCCATGGATTTTGCGAAGCGCAATTTAGCCTCCGTGCCATGCAACCGATAGACGCGAGATCCGAGCACGTCGACTACTCCGATTCATGCACTCGCGATTAAAGCACCCGCGACTGCAGCCCGTTCGATGCATTTCGGTATTCAGGTGATTCAAGCACGTGCAATTGCAAGCACTAGTCAACTAACTCTCGAAAGCAGGCTTAGGGTATCGGATGTGGGAAGTGGGGTTCGGTGTAAGCCAAGCCTTTTCTTTAGGGTTTAGGGGTTTAGGGCCTCAGCCTGTTCGGTTTTAGGCTTGCAGGGTTCAGGGTGAGGTTAGGCTTCTGTTGAGGGCTGAAAAGGATTTAGTAAATTGCATCGGGTGGGTGTAGTTAAGCTTTGGGTCTCAGGCCAAGGGAGCCGAGCCTGGTTTAGGGCCCCTAGAAGCGTAAGGCAACGCAGAACTAGGCATTTTTGAAGCAACCAGGATTTTACGACAGCCGCCCCCCCGCCCTTTCTCTCCGGTCAAGCCTTCTGTTGAGATACTCTACATCCAAACTTATACCTTCAAGCTGTGCTCTGGATTTGGTACTTGCTTTTTGTGCAAGTACACGTGACTGTGGCAAAAGTTGGCTGACCTCCTGTTCGGACTTGCCCGGTCGACACAGGTTTTGGAGGTTGCCTTTGGATTCGGTCACATGGGTTCCGAATGCGTAAGAGCATGCGGCTTGAGTTTTTCACCTCCCTGCGCACGGAAAAGAGGCGGCAACAAAAATCAAGGAAACAACCCAGAACTCAACAACCGAAGCCCGAAAACAGACCGGGCTCTCCTTCCATTCTGATATCCCAAAGCTTAAATCCTGAAACCCCAGCATCCCAAACCCGACACCGACCCTAAACAAACCCTAACGCCGGAAACTTCATCACGGCATGACGTGAAGCACTCCTCCTACCCAGTTTGGAGTTTGGCGTGCGGGTGAGGCTAGGCTATAAAGCACTGCCCTGCGTCCTTGTGCAAATCCCGGGCGCAAATCGTGTCGGTTCACGAATCCGGGCGGTCGGTGCGCGAATCCCTGATAGTGCGGGAATCTGCGGTGCTGCACGAATCCTCCGCAGTCGGGGTTGAATTGTTGGCGTGCGGATCTGCTGCCGCCGTGAATCACCTGTGCGTGAGTCCAGGGGCACAACGCGTCCCTCAGGCAGCATCGTCATGGGCCGTAGGTGCAGTGTAGATCGAGCACCTTAAAAGTTGTCAGTCTCTGTCGATCTTTTAGGCTTGGCCTTCCGGATCTTGGCATTTCCGACCCGCATGGAGCCCAGCAAGCTTGCAAAGTCGCGAAAGAGTTTCTGTCGAGTTTGCGAAGGCGTGAAGGAGAAGGAAGCAGCTTCGAGGCGACGGGAGTTTTCGGACGCAAGCCTACTGCGGACCCAAGGACACCCTAGGCAGACCTACCATGCACAGCGGCAAGCAAAGTCAGCCTGTTTTGCCGAGCCCCCCGCTGAGTATTCTTCTCGATGTTTGCTTGATGGCACCTGGCATCTCACGCCCTGGGACTTCGCGGCATATGTGTTCTGTCGTGTGGCCTCTTAAAGTAACTGCCGCTCAAGTCTGCGTTCGCCTCCGCGTGCCAGGTCCCGCAGCCACGTGGGGCGGGCAGCGTTCGGGCAGGTGCTGCTCGATTGCTTGATACAGTCCTCTGATCACTTACAGTCTTACA